CCGTTGCGCATCCGTCTTACTCACTCGCGACAATCTTTGATCTCCAAAATGAGCAACGAAGAGACGGTTGATTGGACATCATTCAGATCGATAAGGGCGTGGTCGGGTCGCCGGTGCTTTCTTCAGGAAAAATCGAGCATCGCCAACCTGCCGGGGCCTTCGGATAACAGTTGTACCGTGCAGCAGTGTGTCCTCGGAGGCTTCCGTTCTTTTGGGCGCCGGATTTTCCTCGTTTGTCCCTCGGCACTATTTCATGCCGTTGGACGCGCGCGCGGAGGACCAACGCGTTGCGTTGCACGCCATGCTATGTAAGAGATGACGAATGCGTTACATGGGTAGTGCGGTGCAAGGCTGGTCGGTGATCGGGGGCGCTCTTCTGTGCCGTGGTGGCCGGTTGTGACCAGTGCTCGGTGCGTGGGCTGAAGCAGCGGTGCGTGGCGGGGTTCTGTTGGGGGTTTGGCGGTGGATTGCGGGTTTACGCGTTATTGGTGCGTGGGTCGCAATGGAAGAAATTGTTTCAGGCGTTGGCAAGATGCTGTTGGATTCAGCTGCGGTGGAGACGGGCTTCAGCAGTGGCGGCGGCGGCGGCGTCGTCAGCAGCGGCTCTTCGTCGTCGTCGTCGTCCTCTGCTTCGGACTGCGAGGAGACCGGGGCGGGCACGTCGCCGCGCAAACTGCTTTCGCTGGCCATCTATCGGCGCCGTGCGCTCTTCAACAGCAAGGAGCGCGACCTTAGGTTGGAGCTGCTGCACACCAGCCTCATCCAGTCGCTGTGCAAGTTCCTGGGAGAGCGGCGCGCCAAGCGGCGCCATCATCGGCGTGCTGCGAAGCGACACTTCGCGCATGTTAGCGGCAGCCGGGAATGTGCTGATAAACGTGAGTACTGCTCCTCCTCCTCCTCCTTCGCCCAGTGCAATAGTGCGGTGCTGTGCAGCGGCGAGCTACCGGAGCTCGCCGATTTCTGTGGATTTTTGGATGTGGGTGGCGAGGCCGGCGCGTCATCGCCCGCCGCTGGTGAGATGGCCGAGTTTGGTTATAGCCCCAATTTGTACAGTTACACGCAACAAGATAACTGTGTTCAGTTACGCGTTCCGAATGCTGCGGAGGATGATGGGGCGGCATCATCGCCGCCGGTGTGCAAGAAGCCACGCTACGAGAAGGGGCAGCTGGACGCGGATCCGTTTGGCTTGGACTCGTTGTTCAGTGAGCTCTGTGCGTCGCCGTCACTCGCTTCACCAGGTTAGTCGTTCGTGCCTTTCTTTCTGCGTTATTGCTGCGGTGGCCAGTCCGGCACAGCGTGCTCTTGGGCGGATGTGCGTGCCGGGTGGCCTCCGCAGTAGCGATTGATGCAAAGCTGGTGCTACAGGGGTTTGCTGGCGTGATCTCTTGTTTCAGCTTCAGTGCGTTCAAAAAACACACCGCTTGGATGTGTGGTGCTGAACGCGGTCCAGCAGCCCAGGCCAACACTATCTTCCCGGATACTGCTTCTGTATCTACTTGTCACAGTGTAACATTGCATTTGCACAACTGTGTTCTGAGAAATCGTTTCGCACTTACTACCTACAGACCACTGTTCCGGTCTTTTTATTTTGTGTTAGGTCAAAGAAAACGAGCAAATTCGCTTAATGCTGATGCTGGCTTTTCTACTTGTTTCGCAAACGCTGTTCACTGATGGTTGTGTTGCTTTTCAGATTGTGGGGGCGCGCAAGCACATGTCCGGGGCAATGCAGTGAAATCGAGCGTGATGTCGTAGGGAGAGGAAGGCAGCTTGCTGCTCACTGCGATTTTGTTTGCAAAAGGTTTCTGTGATCTCAATTGTGTGCATGCACTATATTTGCTCATAATTGTTGTAATTTTTTTCATGCAGGCTTTTCATTTCTCGTGTCCAGTCAGTCACAAGATGATGCAACTCGGACGAACGAGAATTGAGCATTTTGGAGTTTTTGATAAGCCGGGACGTGGTGTCGACCGGTTTCTAGTCCTACCTCACTCGCCCATACCTCCTTTTTGTACGATTTTTGCTGATGCATTGTCTTGTCTCGTACCGTGCCGATGTTTTTAGTTTCATTTTTCTCTCCTGTTTTTTTATTTTGTCCAACTTCGAGTAACATAAATATTGCAGTTGGAAATTGCAGAGTGAATTTTGTTCGGCTTGTGCTGCTGATCGATCTTCTGGTGATGCAAAAAGGGCGTGATCAGTAGGCTCTTGAAACTGAGCAGTCTGCTTTCTGCGATGGCGCGCCACATGCAACAGAGATGTGGTATTTTTGTTATTAGAAGTTGTTGATTTTTCCAAACTTGCAGGTTGGGTTCAGGGTATTGGGCTTGGAGAGCTTCTGA